TTTTTTTTTCTATTTTTTTTTAATTTTGGTTATTTTGGGGTAGTTTGGGGTTTTTTTTTTTTCTTTTTTTTTTTTTTTTTTTTAGTGATACAGACAATAGCTGTTTTTTCCTATTTGTAGGAAGACCAATTTAAACTATTGTTGTGTTTAGTCAATTAAGAACCTAGATACAGGACAGCGAAAGGGACAAAATCAGATTTTTCACAGGAGTTGCTATATATATAATTAAGTTTACTTTCAGTTTGCAAATTAAATGCATAGAAGTACTTGAAATATATTGCATGCTCTCCCTGAAGGCGCGAATTGTAAGTTTTTACTTGGAAGTAATTACTCAATTATCCAAGCAGACTCATCTCGCGGTATCGAAGAGCTTGGAGGAAAGAATAGCAGAGCTGAATCGCCAGAGTACAGAAGCACGTGATAAACTGTTGCAGCTAATAGACCAGCAGCAATTAGCTGCTGCCGATATGGTCCCTCCAATGACATCTGTTCTGCCCCCATCCCTAAATTATACTGGTAAGTACCCAGCTTCAGAAGAAACAAAAACTAGTAAGACAATGTTTTTCCCCTTTTGGGAGTTCTCTGTCCTTATCTGATTGGATCAGCAGCTGCGGTCAGCAGTGCACTTGCTGTTGATGACTGTGTGGTACAAACACTCCTTACTTTAAAGAGCTAAAAATATATCAGCTAAACTGCTCCTAAAGTTAGTTTCTTAGTAATTAGTCTGCTGCAAATATCATGCTTTATGGTAAATCTGTTCTTTGTTATGTCCTTGTCTGCAGAACAGTTCTGCTAGATAGTCACTGATGGGCAGAACTGGGCCTTTTCATCAGTCCTCTCTGCTGGAGAATCTTTTACAAAAAGACTGAGTATTTACATCAGGCTTCTAGAAATCGCGGCAGAGTGGTTATCCGATTCTCGACCACATTTTAGTTTTTGGTCTTTTGAGTGCTCTTTCCATCAGACTACCTTGCTGAGTTACTGCCAGTGCTAACAGAAGGAAGTCACTGAAGTTCCCAGTCATCTGAAGAGATAAATTAGCAAAGGCAATATTCTTGCTGAGTCAAGATCCACAGATTAGCTGTCATGTGTAACTATGAACAAAAATACTCTCCAGCAGGCGAGGGCTGCTTTATCTTTTCATGGAGTTATTGCAGTTACAGGCAGAACTGTGCGTGAGCACGTACACGTGCTCTGTCTGGGACACCCGCCCTTTCCCCCTTCCTAAACCACAGAGGATGTATAAAGGGAAGGACTTGAGGAGGAGAGACCGCGTGTGTGTGCATATGCATGCAGGTGCATATGCAATGACTCAGGCAGTGGGATCGTAACACTTTTAACACTTCTATGGCTATTTTAACATAGATTCAGCATGATAAGTAAAATCTTACAGGCACAAAGTAGAGAAATCAGAAATGTCTCAGCCTCTGATTGCCGAAACCCAGAAGGTTTATCCATGGAAGAATCATTCTGTATCTATGCACGTTGTCCATAGTTGCTCTGAGTATCTGCTTTCAACATCTGTCATTTTCAGAGAGTGGGTACGGGGTTGATGTTCAGCCTGATGTTTTAGTCTGCTCTGTATATTCTGTGCAATTGTGAAGAGTTATGTGATGCCCTTCAAAAAACGGGAAAATGAAGTGAACGTTGTGAAATGTTGCTGTGTTCTCATCAGAATCAAGCTATTATTTATTGCCTAGAAAATGCAAGGAGGACAATCGAAGTGTCTATTCCCGTCGCAGTTGCTATGGACAGCTCCAAAGAAGATAGTGTTTCCCCTGCCAGTATGACCAGTATAAGAAGGTGAAAGTTAACCCTTTACTATTTCATTTTTGTAGTGTTTTGATTGCCCATGCAGCAGAACTTGAATGCAATGGAAAAACTGCCATGTTTTTCTTCGGCTTCAGGGACTTTCCCTGACTTCATTACGCTCAACTCTGTGGAAATGGGATGGCTTCTGTTGTTTGTATTTAAAATACTTGCAATGTGACATAAGACAGATGACGTGGGGTGTTGGAAGAGTATTGATGAGGGGTCCTAACTCGAGATCTGAGACATGATTCTAGTAATCACTTCCGTTTTTCACTTTTTCACTCTCATTTTGAATGTCTACAGGTCTGTAGGAGAGAGTAGCAAACCTTGTTCACCCCTAAGTGTCACATCAGAAAGTGTGAGATTAACTCCTGTCAGCCAAAGGCCAAAGGTAAGACTGAAAAATCTTCTGCCAGAAAGTTTGAATGCAGTGTCACATAAGGAAAAAACGAGGCAGACAAAGAAGGGGAGAGAGCTCTGTCCTACCTTAAGTCTACTGAGGCTAACAGTAATTGATTCATGGCAGTTTGGATTCTGCACAGCTGGTAAGGGGAGACCCGAGTGCCAGTGACATTAGTTGTTCGCTGCCACAGAGCTGTAATTTACAAGCGAACAATCCTGTAACTACATTTTCTGCTGTGGCACCTTCATGTGTTGGAACTGTGAACCTCTGACAGTCTTTCACTGGTGGCTCCAGAGAATTTCAAGTAGTCATTATGATGTACTGGTAGAGCCGCATATAAGAGGCGAGCGAGCTCTTACCTAGCCATTGCACAAATCAGTTGCTGAAAGGTAAATAAATCCAAATGGAAAGAAAAATCACCAATCTGGATTTCTGATTCCTGATGTGCAAAGAGAAGAATAGACTACAGCAAGGTGCTTTCATGAGGAACTCGGGGCAGTAGTACAGTCCGGTAAACCAGTTATAGGTCTGCTTGTATGCTTGAATGCTGTCTTTCCTGATGTCCAAAATAACCTAAATTAATAAAGAGAAACAAAGTTAGTGTCCAAGTCTCCCTTTCCTGACAGTGAAGTATACATCCCCAGAGAGGAAATACGGAATTCTTAAGGCAGATGTGGCTTAAACTGGGTGTCTAAAGTAGGTGGTGTGACTACTTCCGTGGTGCCTACGGCAGACAATTGCTATGTATCAGGGAATGGGTACGTGGCAATCCTACACAAGCCAGCACTAACTAGCAAGTCTGGGGGAAATTTATGATGTATGAATTTCAACTGGTTTCTTCTTTTGCAGGTGGAAAAGCCAAAAGAAGGCGGCTGGTTTGCATTGTCAATGCACGTTGTGTAAAGGAAGCTGCACTCAAGTCCTATATTTGTTAAATTTTTTTTTATGAACCACAATTAGATCACTATAGTCCCCCTCTCCAGATGTACAGTTTAACTCTGAAGTGCTTTCATGTCAGTACCATCAGTATAAAAAGGTCCGATACTGAATTCGTGCCATACACAGCAGTACAGGAAGTCCTGGGAGCGAGTTTCTGAACTGGACGTGCTGCTGTGGCATCACCCCACTTCACTGAATGAATCTTTTCACAGGATTGTAACCTGAGGCTGTTGTGGCAATCCAAATGAGCATCTGATATCTGTGTTAGATACGCTGAAGACAGGCAGTTTTAGAAAGTGCGTGTGAAACTTTCTGGAGAATGTATTCGCACAAGATACGGGAATGAAAAAGTCAAGAAAAACTGAGATGAGGGAATGTACCTATGTTCAAAAGCAACCTGGAGATTAGGAAGGCAGTCTGTTCCTGATGGATGAGAATTTGCATCAGAAATAATTTGTTCCTTCTGTGGTTTACAGTTGCTCCCAAAAGTTGTGTTTTCTGTGCAGTGAACGGATCGGGGATTACAGCTGGACTTGAGGATTGCTTTTTAAAAATTTCATTTAATTTTTTTATAGTAAATATAAAGTGACTATTTGAAGTTGAAATCAGAATCTCTATTTGCTGTGTACTAAAGTATGCTCTCTTTGATACAATAGAAAACTGTGATATAATTGTATTAAGCTGTTTTGTTATGTGTGTATATAATACTCGAATGACCATGTTTTTATATTGGTTTTATTTGACTTTTTAAAGTAGCCATCATTTTTTTATTAACAATTAACAATAAAATCTAGGACTGTGAGGAAATGCTTATGTATCCGTTCCTTACATTGTAGTAAACCTGGGCAAAAACCTTTATAATGGACATAAAAAAAAAATGAAAGAAATCTGCAGGTCCAAGGAAGAAAATACCTGCAAGTCTCAAAACTGAATTTTGAGTAAAGATGTTTTTCTTTTTTTAACTGTTAAATTTGCCCCTAAAGATATTGATGGGGTGGGGCATTAAAAGGGGCTAGCCCATATCCTTTCGATCAGTTCAGTTTTAAGAGAATGAAGATACTTCTCTTTTTCTTTTCCTTTTTTCCTTTTTTTTTTTTTTTAAAGGCGGGTTGTCTTTTAAGCAGATTTAGAAAATTTAAAAAGTGTGGGATTCAAAAGAGGACCTGATCAAATATTCACAGGCACTTCTGCAATTTATTTTTCCAGTGTTAACTTGGGAAGTGAAGAAGGTCCATAGTCCTGTATTTCGTTGGGATGGACTACGTAACCATAGTGCCCGCACGTTAGTACAGTCGCTTCTGACATCCTTCAAGCTAATGGTTGCTACGCATGCTTTGTAACGTCTGAGATTTCCTTTTGGAATACGGGATTGGGATTGAACCTTTTGAGTCATCATCTGGTTTCCTTAACTTTGAAGCTGCTCTATCAAATAACTAGTTGTTTGCAAGTTGAGTCATAGAATCGTTAAGGTCGGAAAGGACCTCTGAGATTATCAAGTTCAACCTGTTAACCGAACTGCCTCGTCCACCTCTAAACCGTGTCCCTAAGCACCACATCCACACGGTTTTTGAACGCTTCCAGGGACTGTGATTGCACCACTGCCCTGGGCAGCCTGGGCCAGGGCCTGACCACTCTCTCCATGAAGAAAT